AGCAGGAAGGCAGCACTTCTGTGGAAAGCACCTTCTTTCTAGCAATTTCATGATTTCTTTTTTTCACAACTAGTCAGCTGAGGAAGGAGACAGCATAACTCACAAATTACTTAGTAGGAACATCAACATTTTTGAGCAGAAAAAAAAATTTCTGATGCAATAGAATCCAGATTCCTCTCCATTCATGTGTTAAACAATATAGATACAGGGAGGGTAACAGAAGGATACCAGAATGCTGAAAAGGTGGAGGGAAGAAACCCATCCCCACTGCTCATTTCTGTCATGAACTAAATTCTACTCTCCAGTTTCCCTTTTGTACTGTAGAAGCCACAACTTTCCAGTTCCAGGCTCAGACCTACAATAAAGCATTGCAGAGCCATTTTCTTCCTGGAAATTGTCTTCTTTTCCAGGATTTCTTGCAAGCTCTCCAGTTCATACACTCCAGGTCTACAGCAGCTGTCCCTAGAAGGACACCAGCTTTTAGTTTAATGACAGCTCAAACACTGAAGTGTTTACAAGGAGCTCTGTGGACAGAGGATCATACTCTAGAAAAAGGCCGCCTGCAATTTCTGATGCTTCTTGCTGCAGACTCATCTCATATTATTTGCCTTGCAGTAGCTCGTAGCAGATCAGTAAGGTCAGAGCTGCATCACGCTAAACCCTGTGTGAGTAGAGCTGCTCACCCCAGGACCTGCAGTCTGAAACAACACAGAGGGGTAGAAGAGGGGCAAAGAGGAAAGGCATTAATGCCAGAAGCTGACAGTTGCCCCAGCGAACGAGGTGCTGTTTGCAGTATGTTGGAGGAGAATGTGAGGGTTTCCAGAGCAGAGCAGTATCCCTGCATGTGGGTGGGCTGGGAGAGAGCGCAGAGGTGGTGTGGGAAGGTCTCTGGGGGGTAGGAGGGGACCTTGCCTGAAAGACTGACTTAAGTGGGGCAATGTTGCAATAAAGGCTGCAAAATAGAGAAGTAAAATTGAAATTTATTTCTGCGCATGTTGTGCACTCTATTTTTTCTCCTTCCTAGCCCCAGGTCCCTCTTTATACAGCCGCACACCTTGCGCCAGCAACAGCTCATAAGTTGTACCTGGCAGAGGCCAGATTTCAATCTATTGCTTTCCACTTGCCCTTCTCCGCTGTAAAAGAACAGCACTTATGAAATGTCAGACAGGGACAATGTCTCAACTCGGAGAGAGGTTGGCTCTCCTTCTGTCTCCCCCCAGCTCTTAGTCCAGGCTCCAGACTTTGCCTCATTTTAACATAAAAACCGATTGCCACATGCTTTCCTCTCTTCTGCAACCGCAGCTGCGGTACTCTGCCTCGCCGTCCCCAGTGGCAGGGAGCTCCCCAGGCGGTTGCAGGCCATGTCTCCTGGCCTCCTTCAGTTCTTTTGTTACAGACCAGAGCCCTTCCCCTCCCGAAGTGCTCCCTCACCCCTTGTTCCCATGTGACATGGTGATGCTCGGGTATTTGTTGGTCTTCTGCTGATTTTTCTGCTCACCTCTGACCTAGCATGCTTGGCCTTTGCAGTGCTGGGTTGCTCAATCCCCGTTTTATCTACTTGTTGCTCTTTGCCCTACCGAGTGCTGCAGAGACGACACCTGGAGATCGGCACTGCTGCCTCCAGCCGGTGGGACAACATGGGCGAAATACCTTCCCCTACCAGACTGAAAATTTTCCAGAGCAAATTGGAGGTCAGGGCACCCACTCTGTGGCTCAGCGAAAGAAAGAAAAGGAGGGAGAGCCAGAGTGCACACAAGCGCCTGTGAAAGGGAACCATGACAAAGCAGGAGCTACAGTCTCCAGTCCTGCGTGGCAGAGAAAGTCCAGGTTGAAGCCATTTAGCTGGCAAGATGTGGGCTTTCTTTCTGAGCAGGGACAGTAAGAAGTGTCTTTGTATTTTATGAGTAGCCTGTTTCCAAACCAAAATGGCAGAGAAGCTGCTGTCCACTAATTTTCTGGAAGTTCTCCATAGTTGCCTGACATTTCCTAGGTAATTGCAGCCCCCTACTTAGACAATTTGCTACAGATCACATGTTAATGCTTTTCTCTGGGGTATCCAAGCTTTCAAAAGATCCATCAAGGGAGTAGGAACCCTGTCCTAAGATATCCTTCCAGGTGTCAAAAGATCCCAGTAAAAAGAGTTGGTAATTCATTTAGGACATTTCTAAAAGAGAAGTATTCAGAGGTCCCGAGGCTGCAGGCCAGGTGGCTGGGACTCCATGGTTTGTATTGCTGGGGACAACATAAACCAAGGGAAGCCTTAGAGTGGCAGCAGAGTGGGCTTAAGGGAAGAATTAAAATATTTTTCTTCATTAAAAGAATTAAAGGTCTGTGCCCTGGACTGTACAATTACTTCTTTTTCATCTGCTCTCCTCTTGTGTTGAGCACCATGGGGAAAGCGGGGCTGCCAGGGAATCAGCTGGGACTTCGTGGTTGTGTGTGCTGGGATCTAGGAGCAGCCCCTGGGCCGCTCTGTGCCATCTGGCCCCTGGCCTTGGGGGGGCGGGGGGCCACCGCAGTGCGCCGTCCTCCGCGCACCTCGCTTCTCGGTCCCTGTCGTCTCCCGGTCTTTGCACTTAGGCTTCGGACCGGTAGCCGTAGGAGTGGCTATTCCAGCTCTCCCACCCACTGACACTTTCCCATGCCAGAGGGAGCCCAGCAAGGGAAGCGGAGCCGGTTTCTGCTCCCTTCGTGCCTTGTGGCTGGGGAAGAGACCAGAATTGCGTAAGCGAGGGTAACGGGCGAGAGAACCGAATCTGGAAGCGGCTCCGCGCTGAGGAGCCGGCCTTGGTGGGCAGCTCCCGCGTACCGAGGTGCAAGGGGGACGAGCCAC